TCGCAGTTTTTTTTGGCAAAAGGAGGCAGGAAGCCCAAGCCAGCAAAAGAGCCGGCAGGGAACCCTGTTTTGCGACACCGGCTCCCCGAAGACTACGTTTAGTGGAACGTCATCAAATTGCCGCGCGGGGGTTATCCTCTATCCTCTAGTAAGTATCCGACACGCCGAACAATGTCGGCGGACTTTCGCAGCTCCGGCTGGAAAATCGCAACTTTTAAGTACGAAAGTGTTTCGCGAATAGAGGAAACCTGTTCAGAGCAACTTGCTTGGAGAACTTGCTCAGAGGAAATCACGCCGATTGCGCAGAGAACTTGCTTGGAGAACTTGCTCAGAGGAACTTGCTCAGAGGAACTCGCGCCAACAACTTGCTCAGACGCGCAACTGCGCGGAGAACTTGCTAGGATTGCTAGGAGAACTTGCTTCCGCTGCTAATGCTTTCGGGCCACCCATCTTGCAGTTGTTTTCTAAAATGTCATGAGCATAGTTTCTGCCTGTTGGTGGGAGTGGCGAGATCCAAGCTTGGATAGCTCGGGTACTTAAAAAACAAAACTACCCGTTTATTGGCGAGGTGGCAGCTTCTGACTAGCTTGGATGCTGGCAAGAAAAGGCACCACCAAGCAAACGGACATTCCTTGGTCAATGACCTGCTTGCTACATATCTGGGCGTGGACCAAGCAAAGCAACCTTATCGCATTCAATTTTCGCCTGATCAAATCTGACCAACATTATGTCTTGACCAGATTTGATCAGGCTTGATTTTGGTTGGTTTGGGGCTTGGGCGAAGCAACACAAATGACAATAAATCTGGCCAAGCCTGAGCAAAACCAACCAACACCGTGTTTTTGATCAGGTTTTATCAGGTTTAGTTTGGTTGGTCCGGGCCTAGCTAGACAGCAAACAGCTCATTGTACCAAGGGTTGCTGCTGCTGGGGCGTGAGTTCTAGAGATGACACAGCTCATGGGCTTTTCGTGCGAAAAGGGTCTAGTTTTGAGTTTGCCCCGGCTTTGAGATGTTGATGCACAGGGTCTTCCTTTAGAGTGGCCAGGGCTTTAAAATATTATTCGGGGCTCCCCTTACAAGGAACTACAATCATAGTGATGTGATGTGTTGTGCTGTGATGTGATGCAGTGTGGTGTGCGGTAATGTAAGGTGCTGTGATGTGGCGCGGTGTGATGTGGTGTGATGCGATGTAATGTGATGCCGCGCGCCGTGTGGTGTGATGTGTTGTTGCGCTTTGCTGTCATGTTGTGTAGTGTGATGCGATGTGGTGTGGAGTTTGGAGTGATCTGATGCGAGGCAATGTTGTGATGTGATGATGTGTTGTGTTGCGCTGTGCTGTGATGTGATGCGGTGTGATTTGCTGCGATGTGATCTGCCGTGACGCGCTGCGATGCCATCTGGTATTTTGTGGTGTAATATCATTCGGTCTGATGTGATGTGGTGTGATGTAATGTGGTGTGATTTTGATGTTAACTATATGATGTTATTGGAGGTGCGGTGATGTCATGTGATGTTATGTATTGTGATGCGGTACGATGGTGATGTGACTTGTCTTGATGTGTTTCGATGTGACACGATGTTGTCATGTGATGCGTTGTGTTGTGATGTGATGCGATGCGATTTGTGGTGATGCGATGTGGTATAACTCCATAACGTGATGGAGTGTTAATGATGATGCCATGTGATGTGGTCTGGTGTGCTATGCTCTGGTCTAATGCAATGCGATGTCGCGAGGTGTGAAGTGATGCGGTGTGGTGCGCTGAAACTTTTCAAAAGCACTGAAAGCACTGGAGCAGAAGCACTCAGCCTTTCAGCTTGCGTTTGCAGGAGAACCTTTTCGGACTGTCTCGAACTTCTTTGGTTGCAGTAATGATTTAGGAAGTGATTGTGCTTGGGGCAAGCGCCTGCAAAAATGGGTGTGGCAGTTGATGTTGCTTTCGAAGGAAGACCCTAAGTGATCAATATGAACGATTGGACAAATGCTTCTCAATAGAACGCTATTCAGTAAAGCAAGTGATGCAGAGCCTGGTTTCTTATTCGACAACCATGAGAACAGGCTAGGACTTTATCGGATACAATCAACAACCTGCCTTGGGAAACTGCACACTTGGAACATCAAAATCAATGGAAAGTACAAATCCAGAACCAATAGAAAGAACATGGACAACTAGCAAACATATCAGTAGAAACTTCGAGTCCAACCTCCAGTTTCCAATTAACACATCAATTAAAGCAGTCCAAGCCACGTTTTGTTCCTTCAAGAAGACAAAATACACGAAATGGGCGTTGCCCGGTCCTTGCATCATGTCGGAAGGACAGTTCGTCAATAGTTCATCAGCGGTTCGTCAACTGGCGAGCAGTTCCTGAGAATTGCACGAACTTTGCCAGCGTATTGACGAACTAACCAGGGGTTGACCATTGACGAACTATTGACGAGTTGCAGAAATCGCGCCCGCCCAAACATAGTTCGTCAATACGTAGGCAAAGTTCGTACAATATTGACGAACTTCTTGCCCATTGACGAACTATTGACGAGCTGTCCTGCTGACGTATGATGCAAGGCCTGGACAACGCGCCGATGCAAACATACTTCGGCAATAGTTCCATGAGCGTCGGCTTTCTAATGAATCAAGTGCTATGCTTTGTGTTTTATTTGTTTTTCAAGACACAACAGGTGGCTTGGACTGTTTTAATAGGGAATAAGAAACCAGGCTGTGCATCACTTGCTTTACTGAATAGCGTTCTATTGAGAAGCATTTTTCCAATGGCTCATATTGATGACTTAGGGTCCTCCTTCAAAAGCAAAATCAGATATCACACCCAATTAGCGCTTGCGCCAAGACAAGCATTTACTAAATCACTACTGCAACCAAAAGAAGTTCTAGACAGTCCGAAAATGTTCTCCTGCGAACGCAAGCTGATTTAGAAAAAGTTCACCACACCACACCGCATCACTTCACACCTCACGACATCACATTGCATCACAATGAACACACACACCATCACGTCATACCACATCGCAACACCACGCAACACGTCACATGACAACACAACGCAGCATCACATCACAGCATCACGTCACATCGAACCAGTTCACAAAATAAAACACGTCCCATCACGACACATCACACTGCATCCCATCACATGACCTCACATCGCATCACATCACATTGCAGCGCGTGACATCACACCGCATTGCATCACATCACTTGAATCAAGCCGCAACACATACCATAAGGTCTCTTTACATCACACCGCATCAAGATCGCTGCGCGGCAAGATGTGTTGCATCGCAGCAACTCACAGCGCATCGCATCACAACAGAACATATCACGCCGCACTCCATCACATCACATGATAGCCCAGCGCAGCACATCACATCGCATCACGTTACAGCGCGCCACGTCACGTCCCACCGCATCGCACCGCAGCTCATCACGTCACGACGCGGCGCAACACATCGCGCCGCATCACATCACACCACCTTACATCACCTTACAGCGTAGCGCCTCACAATACTATGTTTGTATGTTGCGGGGAGCCCCGGCAGAATCACAAATCAACACTTTGAAGCCCCGACCGCTCTAAAGGAAGACCTGGTGCACCAACATTCCAAAGCCGGGGCAAACTCCCCTGTTCACAGGAAAACCCACAAGTCTTTTCCTCTTCAGAACTCACCAGCAGCAACCCCCTTGGTGCAATGAACTGTTGCTGTCTAGCTAGGCCCAACCCAACCAAACTAAAACTGTTAAAACCTGATCAAAGACACGGGTGTTGGCCGGTTTTGCTCAGGCTTGATGTTGCTTCGCCCAAGCCCCAAACCAACCAAAATCAAGCCTGATCAAATCTGGTCAAGACATGGCTTTGGTCAGGTTTAATTAGGTTTGGTTAGATGCGCCAGGGTTGGTTTTGCTTGTTCCAAACACAGCTAGACAGCAAACCGGTCATTGACCAAGGAACGTCCTCTTGTTCGGTGGTTTCTCTTTTTGCCACGCAGATCAAACATCCAAGCTAATCAGAAGCTGCCACCATGCCAATGGACAAGTTTTTTTTAAGTACCTGAGCTATCCCAGCTTGGATCTCGCCACCCTCCCACCAACAGGGAGAAACTATGTTCATGACAATTCAAAACCATAAGCAGTTAAATAAAATATAGAAATGAACAGACCGGGCCTAGCTTCAAGTCTTCTGACTGTTCAGCTCTCATTGTGCCTGGGGTTCTGCGATGCGACGCGATGTGATGTGTTGTGATGTGGTGTGATGTGATGTGATGTGTGATGTGACGTGACGTGACGTGACGTGATGTGATGTGATGTGATGTGATGTGATGTGATGTGATGTGTGGTGTGATGTGGTGTGACGTGATGTGCTGTGATGTGATGTGGTGCGATTTGACGTGGTGTGGTGTCATTCGGGGCGGTGTGATGCGATGTGATATGCTGTGATGTGATGTGGTGTTGCGCTGCGTCGTCGCGTGATGTGATGTAATGTGTGCGTGGCGTGGCGCGATGTGACGCGATGTGGCCTGTCTAGCGCAAGTGTACAATTCATCGACGGCCAGAAAACAGAGGAGCTTGACGGGCAGCAGAAACGGACAATTTTGAGCTTACTACGTTGGATGGCCTTGTTTCTGATTTTTTGTTTTTGTCCGGGCTGCTTTCTCTGGATCAAGCTTTTTCACACCGGTTTCCAGTTCATTCGGCTTGTTGATCCCCAGTCGGAACCGACTCCTGCCCCCAGAGACGTCGTTGACATTTGTAGCTACGAGCCCTTCTTAACTTTTGGCGAGCTCACGGGTTTTCAGCGGGGGTCGGATTTTGGAAAGGACTGTAGTGAAGGGAAGTTTGCTAGGAACTAGGCAAACACTGATGAGGTGTTGAGGAAATGGGCAAATCAATTGTTTGATGATTAGTGGAATTAAGTTCCAGCCACCTCCCTTCACTTCATTTGATTGAGTGGTTCGTCGCTTATTCTTTCCGGCGAGCCGTTTGTTGCCGAGGACTTCTGGCCCCCGGCGCCGGGCCTCTCGCAGTTGTTGCTCGGTGCCTCCTGCGAGCGTGCCTGGTGGCCCATGTTCAAACTCGGTAGCCGGCCTCCCTCCGACTCAGCTGGAGCGTGTGGGCGGGCGGGTGGGCGGAACGTGTCTGTCTGTGTGTGTGTGTGTGTGTTTGTTTGCTTGCTAGGTTGTTTGTTTGCTTGGTCGCTTGCTTGCTTGCTTGCTTGTTTGTTTGTTTGTTTGTTTTTTGTTTGCGTTCTCGTCTGTTTGTTCGATTGATGGATTGTATGATTGTTTGTTTCTTTGTTTGTTTGCTTGTTTGTTTGTTTGTGTGTTTGTTTGTTTGGTTTTTGTTTGGTTGCTTGCTTGCTTGCTTGTTTATTTGTTTGCTTGGTTGCTTGTTTGGAAGTATGTCTGTTTGTTTGTTAGGTGTGCTTGCTTGCTTGTTCGTGTGTATGTTTGTTTGTGCGTGTGCTTGTGTGTTTGTGTCAAGCATACACTTTTCCTCCTGCCCATGTCATGATGCACTGCCACATTGGTGGCCCAAGACTTGCACCACCTCGCACTTACTTCGGTTCGTGTTTGGTGTGACTCGGGGTCCTTGAAATTTGTCATGGTAGCGGAGCTCTAGGACTTTCCAGAGCATCCAAAGATCTTTGGGGTTTGAGCCATGGGCATAGGAGTATTTCCGATGCCATCTCGCCACCAGAGTGGGAAGAGTCCTGGAACTTCAAAGCATACATTTCCATGTTTGAGACTTCTGCAATCGGGGTACTTGACAGAGTTGAAGGCAGAGCGGAGCCAGTTCAAGGTCAAGACCCCGCCATCACTGATTTGGACACTGGAGATCCAGGCGTTGAGGCATCTAGGAAGGCAGTGGCTTTCAACCGAAAGCTGCACTAGTTGTTGGCAAACCTCACTACACACACTGCAAAACTTATAGTGAGGCAGAACACTGACAGCAACGGCTTGGAGACTTGGAGGCGGCTTTACCACAAGCTTGCGCTGCCAGATGCCACAAGACATGTCTCACTTTTAACTCAGCTCTTAGACTTCAAGTTTAACCCCGCAACTTTGAAGCTGGCTTTAACACTTCAAAGGCAAGTGTGAGCGACAAACTGGAACTGAACTTCCCGATAGTGTGTTAGTGGCGACTTTGCTGAATAAGACCACCGGAGCTTTGCAGCAGCGCTCGCGAGTAAATGCAAGGTCACTAATACCTATTCGCAAGTCAAAGACGTCGTAGCGGAGTACTTTCGCCCGCGACACATCCTCACTTCGAACAACAACAGTGGCCCAGCACCAATGGACATTGGAGCACTTTGGAGGAAAGGCAAAGGCAAAGATAGCTCACTTTGGCAGAAAGGAAAAGGCAAAGGACTTTGAGGCAAGGCCAAAGGCAAAGGCAAGGACTCCACTCAAACTTTCAAGCAAAAGCAAAAGGCAAAACTGGTAAAGGAAAAGACTTCGGAAGAGGAAAAGGCAAAGAAAATGGCAAAGGCAGAACTTGCTTCCCAACTTTGCTGGACTTGTGGAAGACCAGGTCACTTTCTAACACTTGTCCCAACAGGAGAGTGAACGCACTTGAAGAGTTGGAAGCACTTCAGGGTTCGTCCTGATTGGAGGAATTGGAGAACTTTGGACCGTTAGGTTACTTGGGACACTTGGGGCGTGAGTGCGCTGTGAGAAGATGACGCGTTGTGGCACGTACTTGGGAGTCGGACACATGGGGCTGGTCGCAGCCCAAGACTCCTTCCACTTTGGAGAGTGGTGATGCAGCGAGGAACTTGCCAAAGAACTGGTGCCTCGGCTTCTGGCTCACTTGGAGTTGATGCGACCACTGCGAGCCCACCGCGACTTCCAAAGCCTAAGGCTAAGCCTACTCCAAAACATTTGGGGCTTCCAACTTCATGTTGGCTGCCATCATGCTGGGAGTTTTTGGGGCTGGGAGTTCCTTTGAACTTGGGTTGTGGAAGTGTCAAGACTGAAGACATGATGAGTGGCTTGTTTGACTTTGACTTGAAAGGTTGTCTGCCGGTATGGCAACTTGTTGGAGACGTCGGTTGGCTTGCTGGTCGCACCGCTTGAGACCTTCGCGCTTGACGGACCTGCTGTTTCACGACATGTCACTTTGACGAAAGTTCGAAGACTTGAGCTTGACTGTGAATACTGGGTGTCACGATGTGTACTTTCAATAACAACTTGCAATAACAACTTGCATCAGAAGCGTGGCGTGACACAGAGCCCTTTCACCTCGTCTTATATTCGGCGAGTAGGAACTTAGTGAGGCTTTTTGTCAAGACTTTTCTTGAGACAGCGCATGGCTTTACATTGCCGCATGGCTTTACGTTGCCGCCATTTACTTTCACGTGGTAATTTTGCACCTGCGATGCGTGATGGCGCTTCAAGCCGCATAGAGCAAGGGCTTGGGCCCTTAGCCACTTCTTCTTTGACTTGCACTCCGGCATTGCAGCAGACAATGGCCGACTTTGACAATGATGATGAGGGCTTTTTCGCCCTCTCCACTTTGATCTTTGGCAAGAACCGCCCGGAGTCCGGCAATTCCAGATTTGACGTGAAGGTGAAGGGTATGATGCACAAGCAAAGGATGAAGGACAAGGAGGTGGACTTGCCCACCTACTTTCCAACAGCATTGCCGGCGCGCATCGCTTTTTCAGACTATCATCGTTGGATTGACCCTCAGACTTTCACCAGAGCAGTTGCGCAGGGGCTTCAACTGAAGCAGATTTGGCGTTTTGGTCAGGACTTTTTGCAACTTGCTCATCTTATGCATTGGTTCCGTGACAGAGTCAGGGCGCCCGACTTCGAACCCTGGGCAAGAGCATCCATGCACTTTCATGCAGTTGGACCTTGTGTACTTTTCTGCAGTCTTTGTCACTTTGCTTCATCCCAAGCTACTTCCATCCGTGGCGGAAAAACTTTTTGCCAGAGGAATTCTGCAACTTTGCTGTGGATCACTTTGCCACTTTCCCTGTGGAGGCAGGTCGTGGGCAAACTTCGGCGCACGGGCATTCTGACTTTGACTGCGTCAGAAACTCAGTGGATGGGTTCATTTTTCATGTCGCCACGTTCAGCCATGCTGTTCCACACTTTGAATCATGGCTACAGCCGACACTGGACTTTCAATCCCCCAGATCAAGGAGAACTTCATTACTGTGGCGTTCAGGCCATCAAAGCAAGACTTGACTACTTTGCTAGAGAAGATTTGGAACAGGTACCACTTGGACTTCTTCTGCCTGATTGAACGGTGGTACTTTTCAAATCCAGTGACGCTTCAGTCAATCACTTTGTTCAAGGCAAGGAGCGACTTTCCACTTGAGCGAGCTGTGGACCAGCGAGAAGTGGAACTTCGCCGGACAGACTTGTGGGGGAACCTCACGCACATCCACATTAACCCTGTGTGGCACAAGCAGGCGAGTAAACTTTCAGTTGACCTCACCATGCCATTGGGCTTTTTGTGTTGGCGTGCCAGGCCCAAACTTCGAACACTTTTTCATGTGAGACAAGCTTCGCACTTTTGCTTGAAGCCAAAATAGAACTTTGGTTGAGCTGTTGATGGATTAAGTTATGAGGGCTTTCCATCTGAAGCAGAGGCGACTTTCAAGGTGACTTCATCGGCGCCTGCATCAACTTCACTTTTGTAAGCTTACGCCATGAGGCAAACAACTTCTGCAGGCTCATCACTTGCCGCTTTGTTTGTACAGACTTTGTGTTGTCTACATTCAACTTTGAATGTATCCAAGAGGGGTGTCAAATATACACGTTTCCCCTATGCCTATGTCATGATGCGCTGCCACTTTGGTTTTGCTCAAGGCTTGCGCCAGAGAAAAGGTGCTGCAGACCTCGCACTTGCTTCGGTTTGTGTTTGGTGTGACTTTAGAGTCCTCAGGTTTTCCAGTTTGTGTGTTGGCGTGTTTGTGTGTTTGTGTGCAGGGTTGTGTGTGTGTGCGTAAGTGTGTTTGTGCCCACTAATCTTTTAGAGATAGGATGTGATTCACGAACAAAACGACCGTTTTGTTGAGCCATTCTTACACGTTTGTGTGGTCCAATTTTGCAGGCTGTTGCTGTTTCATTGCCAGGCCCTTTCTGAATTAGAATATGGTAGCTTAGTTGTCTGCTGGCAAGTCATACTCACGCTAGTTGTGGGGTGATGCTGGTGTGCGACTGTGGGGTTTGCTCGTGCTGGACAATACGGCTGGCAGTCTGTGACAGGTCAAGTGCCCACTGCTCAGGGAGCCCTGTGGTGCCCCAAGCAGAAGCCCATATGGCCCGCAGACTAGGTTGCGTTATGTCTCGTAAACATATGGTTGGTATGAAAAGTGTGTGTGTGGGCTCTCTACCAAGTGTTGGCTTGGCACGAACTGATTTTGGACATTCTTGGAGAATCCCTTCAGAAGGCGGCACGAACGACCCCAGCATCCCAAAGCTCCCCTCTTCGGGCGACCGCCAAGTCACAATCATCCAACATGAGTTCAAACTTCCGGAGCCGCGATCTTAGGCGCCTTTGGCGCTTCCGTTCTTCTCAGTGCCGTCGCCAGTTCGGCCACCCAGTGAGGGGCGTGTGTCGCATTGCCAGTGCGACTTGCTGCAAACCAGGGAACGGGCGATGCTCAACAGTCTGATTGTTGCATGCGGGCGAACTGGTTCTCAATTGGCACGGGCCCACGAAGTTCCCAATCCGGAAGCGCACGAATCCCAGCAGGAAGCAGCTGCGGTGTTGGATTCCAAGGGTTTCTCTCCCACGCAGGAGAGCTCTCAAAACTCAGGCGGCCTTCAGCCAGTTTGCTGAGGCACAGAATGCACACAAGTCCGACATGCGCGGCGGGCTTTGCACAGGCATCACGCAGGTGCATGCGTTCACGGGCGCTGTTAGCCATATCGCGAGAGCACGATGGGCCCAGAGGGCTGCAAGTCGCGCTGGTGGGCGTAGTCCAAGATCTCGAAAGAGGGCTCGCTGACCGTGTTCTTGGGTTCCAAGCCTTCTTCGTGCGCACGGAAGTTGCCTGACACACGGTGAATCTGGGTTCCTCTTCTGAAATGTGGGGCTAGGCGTTGCCCCGTCCTTCATGTTCTTTTGACTTTGTTCTTACCCTTGGCGTCGGTGAAGCTGGGGTCTCAAGAGAGCTTCAGCTTGCGCGATCGGCCGGCCAGCAGCTGTGTTGCGGAAGGCTTGGCCTGGACGGGCATACTGCAACTTGCTGCTCATCCAAAGCAGGCGGCCGAAGGCCCCAACGATTGCAGCCTTTCTTTCTGCGGCCGGTGTCGCCGGCCGCGTCAGACAAAGCCTTGCAACTTGGCCTCGTTAATTTTAATCAGAGGACTGGGAGCGAGGTCAGCAGTAGTAGCAATTGTGTATCTAGGATAACTAGAACTAACAGTGATCATTAAAATAAGTAAGCCTAAGAAAATAAGTAAAAACAACTGTTTGGGGGTTTCTTGTGCTTTTCTGGACGGCCCATGCAAAAGCAACAAAAGATGACTTTTGCCGGAATTATGCAAAGCTGCGCAGTTGGCAAATGGGAGAAATCTGCCGCAGCCTGTGGGTTTGTTCGGCAGCAAGCTGCCGCGTATATTTATGTATATATAGATATGTATACCTGCAAGGAAGCTTTCGCGCAATCCGGTTGTTTCCTTATCTGAGGCAAGTTCTTGGTAAGCAGGGTTTTTGGGCTGCGAAACTGTTGCTGCAGCCACGCAAGGAACACTTGCTGAGCACTGCGCGAATCCTTAACCAGCTTGCTCTGCTTTATTTGTAAAATTGGACTTCTTTCCTGCTGACACCGCGCCATCTGTGCAACATGTTTGCTCACGCGGGAAAGCCGCGGCGCAGCGCTGCGCATTTCACCACATTCCAACAGACCACACTGAACCAATGTGTATTTTACATATTGTCTAGCAAGCAAGCTCGCTGCACATTTTACAGCAGTGAAAAGCGGGTCAAAAATTTCAGGCAGGGTCTGCCCACAAGCCCACAGGACTTTGGCAGGCAAGTGGAACACAAAACCATGGCCACAAACGGGCGCAGGGAGAAAGAGAGAATGCTAGTTCTGACTGCGGGTTTGGGATAGAGCGGCGGTGCCTCTCGGAGCCTTGCAGTTCTCAGACACGCAATTTGCAAATCGGCAGACTGTTGGCCTATGAGCCAATTCTACAAATCATATTTGTGGCTGCCTAGCTTTGTACACTGCGCTTTGCTGCTGTTATATTACTGCACGTATGCACGGCTCAGCCGCGCTGAAACATGAAACAACAACATGCAACAAAGCTCAGAACATGCAAAATAAACACTCCTTAATAGTAGGCTACGTCTCATAGCTGTTCACGAGCCGTCGGTGACCAGGTCCGCAGCCTGACCTTGTAAGACGCAGTCCAGAGCCAGGAAGTCGGTGTTGACGCCAATGTAGGGGTACTGCCTCATTGATCGTTGGCCTCATTAATTGTCATATTGGTGGCAGTACTGTGAAGTTGAAGGTTTCGAGGAGCGTGCCTTTGGCGGCCACTTACGTTGCAGCCTCGCGGTCACCGGAGCCCAGCAGATCATGCCGCAGGGCTTGACGAAACCATGGGGCCTGTCCTCCCATCTTGCGAGACACGTGTGAGTGCCAAGATGCAAGCGCCCCAAGCTCGATGTAGGCATGGGTTCACGCAAAGTCGCATGGGTATCGCGTGACTGCAGTTCATGCCATATCAAACGATGAGACTTTTGGATTCAAGGGTGGGTGGAACGCACTTGTCTTTTTGGACGTGTTCACGCAGTTTCGTTATTTCTATCCTTCCGCGCGCCAGGATGCTGACAGTTGTGTTGATGCATTTACGCAGGACATGAATCCAGATGATGCAGTCGGTATTTTCTGTTCGACAGTTCTGGAAAATTGCAGCAGCTGTTATGAGCATGGGCTGGAGATTTGTTTTCGGCCAGCCTTATTTCAGCTCTTCTTCGCGGGTCATCGAGCGCGAGATCGCGCGATTCTGGAAGGAGCAAGGCCAAGCCTTTGTCAAAGTTGATTGCCGGTGGAGTTTTGCCCTTTGGCTGCTCAACATGATGCATTTGTTCTCAATACAACTAATCCAGATGACAAGCAGAAATTGCCATGGTCCTGTTTGGCGCAAATCGGTTGTATTGGATTAGTTGCAAGTGTGTTGGCTCCAAGCAAGCAGTCCAAATTTCTGCAAACCTCGGATGAAGGCATGTTTGTTGGCTATCATGCGCAGCCTGGCTTTACCTATGAGCTCTTGGGATTGCCACTCAAGAGCTTGCCGGACAAGGCGCAAAGATCGATATCTGGATCGATAGATAGAGAGAGGGAGAGAGAGAGATAGACAGCAGAATGGGTGGATTAGTACATCCGACTCATAGGACATGATAGGATAAGACAGGTTGAGAAATGACAAAACAGTATGAGGCAGCATTAGACATGATAATGTGGGGTAAGATAGGATGAGGCTTTCCGCATAGGTGAAAATATCTATTTGTCTATCTGCCTACCTTTACTAGGTACTTTTCAACCAGAGCTGTCTAATACACGGTATCTATCCTAATCTCCAAAATCTACATTTTCCTATCATAGATGGACAGATAGGGTGAAAGATACATTTTGTGCGGTAAGCGATTTGCTAAGCCACTTGCAAGTTGCCTAACTATAAGTCCGCTAAGTCTGACTTAGCTAACTTACAGCCTGGCTAAGTCGAGTTAAAGGACTTAGCTACGTACATCCTGAGTAGTTCTTTGTAGTTAGCTAAGTTCTTTAACGCGCCAAGTGGACTTGGCCAGGTTGTCTTGCAAGTGGCTTAGCAAGTCTCTTAAGTTCGCCAATTACATAGCAAGTAGGCCGCCCATCCAAGTAAATCGATAGATAGATCGGTAGACAGATTGAAAATAGACAGTTGTTTCTAATTTTTGAGGCTTTGTAAATATAGATTACGATTGAGGATAAGATAGGATTGGGTAGATCGATGAAGTAGATTACAATGAGATACATAGGGCGCGGTGAAGAGAGAGAGAGAGAGAGAGAGAGAGAGAGAGAGAGAGAGAGAGAGATGGCTAGATAGACAAATGGACAGTTGAATAGATAGGTAAATTCATGACAATTCAAACATTACAAGGTTTGTGAGTTGCGTGCCACACAACTTGGCATGTGAAACCTGTAACCTCCATATCTTGTGTGGCCATGCTGGCCCGAATCCCTCGCATCCCACATAGGGTGGGTATCTGCCGTGTGACGGCACCGACCAATGGCTACGCAGAGCAGGAAAAGGCACCTCATCTTCGTTTTCTAGATTGGGGCCCTACCAACCCATTCAGCTTGGTAGCGGAGCTGCCTTTACGCTCCAAGTGGCCTCTCAGATGACATCTGAAGCGGCATCTGCAGCGCTCAACCCGGCGCAATTCGCAGGACTATCGGGAATGGCGTAAGAGGATGTGTACAACCTCCTGGGTTCCCTCACTGGCACTGCTTGGAAGGTAGTTGAGCGTCTCGAAGACGCTCAGACCGAAGCGGACACTGCGTTCGACGATATCCTGGCCATCGACAAGTCCTTTCGGTATGACGACAGGGTCCTCAACGACTATTTCAACTAGCTGCAGCGCCGTTCAGGCCAAACACTGCTCAGCTATGTCACCAAGCACGATGAGGCTTTGCATTGCCTGGCGCAACATGATGTGAAGCTTCCTGCATCCGTGGTGGGTTGGCAAATGCTTCGGAAAGCCAACCTCAGCAAGGATCAGCGCCGCCTCGTCATGACCCAGGCCGGCAAGGACCTCACTAAGGAGAAGGTTACTTCGTGCTTGGCCAAGACTACAAGTTTTGACATGAGCGCCCCCGCGGCCCTGGCTTCAAGGGCTCCGGCTTTCATCGGCGCCACACAGGCTATTGCTCGGAGGGCAACTACGATGAGCCCTACACCGACTTCGACCCCGACGGCACCTACTGGCATGATGACCAGACCTACACGGACAAGATCTACTGGCAAGACGATTACTGGGACTCCAGCGAGGACGAAAACGTTGAGACGGACGACTGGGACCACCACGAGGTGAGGATACTGAGTCGAGCAACCCCTGGCCTGTATGTCGACGCTCGCAAGCGTTTTCAAGAGCTTCGACTATCTTGTGGGTTCCTTTCCGTGGGGATGGTGGCCCCGGATCCTCAAGCTCTACGGCACCTTCGCTGAAAGGAGGACCCGGCCGTGGTAAAGGTAAGGGTGGCAAGTCTGGGTCCAAAGGTTCTGGCAAGCCATCGCAAGCCAAGAGTCGGGCCAAGAGTGCACTTCACTGCATTCGCTGTGGAGCTGCTGGACACTGGGCCAGCAACTGCCCTATGCCACGAAATACGTCTTCCTCGGCTACGCCTACAACCTCGCCGTCATCTCGCCCGAACAAACGACCGGCTCTGGAAGATGGCTCGGCTATGATGGCCGGCATCCTCATGGACAGCAACGGAGTGGATCGACCAGATGCTGTCATGCTTGACCCCGGCGCCTCGTCCTTCCTGGCCGGCTACCACACCTTCACCGCCTACGTTCAAGTCCTACGTCAAC